ACTGATATTCGGGTGGCTAATCCTCTCACGGGAAATAATGTAGATGGCTTTACTGCTATTGATGCTTTGGGGGATAAAGCAAAATTGACAGCCCAACGCACTTGACGAACCGCTATGGCTGGTGCTGCCACTCCTGGTTTACGCAAAACGGCACTTGACGGCACCGGGGGAACTCCGGTTGACAATACTATAATGGATGCTTGATTTAGTTTAACGGCCACAGGGGGGGGGGGCATGTTAATGATGCCAACTTATCTGCCGTTCAGGCTCGGGCTCTTTATAGCCATAATTGAGAGGCAGCCGACATGGATAATCATAATGGTGATATTCGGGTCACAATTAGCGGCACGAACTATGATGGCTATGCCGCTATCATAGCCCTTAATGATAAAAATACTGCCCGAGATACGGCTTGGGTTAACGCTTTTAAAGCAGCGGCTCAACCTGCTGGTGCTTACGATGCCATGGCTGATCCGGATATTCTGGCTTATCGCAAAAACAATAACAACCACGAGATAACCGCAGTCCAAGGAGCCACCGCTCGCAATAATGGGTGAGATGACCCAGCTCAAATCCGCATCAACAACAACGGCACTATCCAAGCCTCACTAAACAATGTAGACTGAAATATTGACCCTCTAACCACAACTAAAACCCAAGCCCGAGATAATGCCAAAAATGTTTGACGAACCGCTATGGCTGGTGCTGCCAATGGTCCTCGCAATACAAATCTGACAGTAGGAGGCAACACAGGAGACGACGATACTTTAATGGATGCTTGATTCGCCAAAACCGTGACCGGTGGAGGAAATGTCCTAGATACCAATTTAACCGCCCCTAACGCCCGTGCTCTTTGAGATAATAATTGAGATGCCACCGACATTCAAATTAACGGCACTGATATTCGGGTGGCTAATCCTCTCACGGGAAATAATGTAGATGGCTTTACTGCTATTGATGCTTTGGGGGATAAGGCGGTGTTGACCGCTGCGGCGGCTGTTCGTCAAAAATTCATTACTGACTTCAAAGCCGTTTCTGGTGCTTCGGCCAGTGCCTCCGACCCCGATATTTTGGCTTATTTTGATAAAAACTTAACGGCTGAAAAAGCCGCTGAACTTTACAATGGTAATCCTCGGGTTGATGGCTCAGAATTAGAGAAAGGAGCAACTAATAATAAAGTAAAATATGACAATAAAGAATATGATGCTGACAAGCCAGCCGACATTACTGCGGCCAAAAAAGCCAAAATTGACGCTGACAAAGCAGCAAAATTATCCAGTGCTAAAACTAATGCTATAAATGATATTCAAACATTAATGGATGATACTTCGGGTAATAAAACTAAACTAACTGATGAGGAATTGAAAATAGAATTGAATAAAACCGAGGCTAATTTAATTGATGGCACAACCATAAAGGATTGAAAAGATTATATTAATGCGGCTACTACGGAGACGGAAGTAAGCAATCGCCAAGATAAAATTAAAAAGGCCATTAAGGAGATTAGGAAAACCAAAGAGCCTCCTTTTGACGCTGCTGCTGCTCGTTTAGAGGCTATTACGGAGGTTAAAAATTACTGAAAAGGCAAATCCAACAACCAGACAGAAACCGGCTTGATTAACAATAAAAAGATAACGGAGGTTCTGGGGGCTGAATGAGAGAAAGAATTTGAGGATAAAAATACCCAAACGGACATTGATAGCAAAAAAGTTGAATTAACTGGTAAAATTGATGCTGAAAAAGCAAAAGAACCAAAAAAATCCAGCCAAAAAGTATCAGCAGAGGAGGTGAGAGAAATATTTGAAACTGTTACGGGAGACAGTAATGTCAAAGTTACTAACGAAGTAGTTGAATCTTGACGGGCTTTTGATAATGATAAATCTGAACTAAGAACTGCCGTTCAAATTAAAGCATTTTTCAAGGAAAATATTAAAGAAGATAAAAAGGTGGATTTCTCGGAGTATTTGAGTAAATTGCCTGCGGCAGAGCAACCAACCGGTAGCGATGAAAAAGAAAAAGTGAATAATTTCTTAACTCATAAAAAAGCCGAGGTAGTAATCAAAGCCATATTTGGTTATAAATTGAAAAAAGATGATAATTTTGTGAAGGAGACCGAAACTAAAATGGAAGCAGAGAAAAATGACGAGGGGCAACCATTAGACCAGGATATTTATCCTAAACAAGATGATAAATATACCCAAGAGGCCATGACAAAATATCTTTTTGAGAAAAAAACCGGTCAGGCTCACCAATTTGCGGCTAAACAACAAAGTCAAGAAGCTACTGAAAGTCATTGAGATAAATACAAATATTTATATGGTCTGTTAACTGTCCTGTTATTAGCAATTGGATTAGTGGTGGTATTCTGGGAAAGATTAACTGGTTCGGTTGAGGGAGGAAAAGATAATGGTTAAAGGAGCGGGGTGATTGAGATGTATGCCTTGTTTAGATTGAGAATAGCGAAAAGGTTGAAAATATAAAAGAAAAAGAATTAGCATTCACCAATTAGAGGCTTATTTGGTTTATTATGGCAGCATCT